CTAAAACGTAGATAGATCAGACAGACAAACACAGACTTACGCGCGCAGGCACACGCACATATGTTGTTATATATATATATAAGAAAACGCCAAGAAGGAGATGCAATATAAACAGAATTATGTAGATGTTTTGCATTAATGTTTGAACATTTTCTCACATACTGCAAGGACTCGTTCGAGTTTTTTTTAAACATTTTGTTCCATTTTCATTTTATACCGCTGTTAGCATAGCATAGGCACCCTTATAATTTTCATTTGTGAGCTACTTTTTTACTCGATTTTTTATAAATTGGTGTTATATTAATTAATTTATAATTTATTATGCTAACCAGTGTTTTTAATGCATTTATTATTCTACAGTAACGTAGTGCTTGGAAATGAAAAAAAATTAAATCGAAATTAACTTCGTTAATGCTTCGTTCATTTGGTTTCACATGATGTTTTGTTTCTTCGATGTTTTTATCGGATGTTAATAACTAACAGACGTTTGTTTTTCAGGATCTTTTTTATATTTTGTTTCAGTTTTAACTTTGTTTTACTTTCTTTTTCTATCTTTTGCTCATTTTTCTCCACAAAAAACGTTCATATTATATTTGATCTTTCTTCCACGCCTCGCGTTGTTAGATTTTCAGCAGACACACGCCAGTTCATTTTCTGTTTAAAAAATTTTGATGAATGACGTGATCTATTTTTTTCCTGACGGAAACGTTACGTTACTCAGTATTTTTTAAAAGAACAGTTGTTTTTTCAGTTGTTTTTTTAGGAGTTTTGGGCAGAACCGGCATGGATGTTCTTGTGAAGCAGCACATTTGTTTCTTGAATTAATGCCGTTATAAATAAATTTGAAAAACAATTTTGTATTTTTTTATATAGTATTTTATTTTCATTTAATTACATCGCCTCACATTGTAAAGTAAAAATATAATGATGATTTTTACAGAATTAATTTCTAAAAGAAGAACCAGCCGAAGAGAAAGAGCAGCGATGCATGATGTCAGAGTACTTCGACTTGCACACGACCAGATGGCGAGGAATCTGACCAACAACATTCACCGGGGCAACAATTTCTTCAACAGCAACAATCACATAAACAACAATCTACCTTTTTATTCTGTAAATAATCATTCAAAGGAAATTCCACTTTTACCTTACAAGCATATAAACGAAAACTATTCCAACAACAGATCTCCAACTGAATCTCCGCCATTGATCAAAAAACAACTGAAGTCATCAGTTTTGAACGGTCCTCACCCACTGCACAACAACAACGTCAACGTCATGAATTCCAGCTCTAAAGATACTGACTCACTAAATGATCGCCAGTATTACGTTAACGGTGTTACGCAGCACGAACTTTCAAAATCTCTATCTACGAACGTCATTGATCATGTGAAAAAGTTGACGCCAGGTCATCAAGTGCAGCACCTGGGAAAAGAAAATAACAAATCAATTCTGAAAAAATCATTTCCACAGTTAATTCAGCTTAGAAACATGGAGGATTGGCAAGGAACTCAAAAAGATAGACCACGAAGTGTGCCATGTGCTCCTAGGAAAGTAGATTTTAGACCAAGTGTTTTGGTTTTTCTTTTTGACAGAAACGAAGGAGGCCATGTACGGTCCGAAAGTCAAGACCTTACGACTGAGCCCAAAGATAGAAAAAAATTTCTAATAAGAAACAATTCTCCAATCAAACAAAAGTTGTTTCAAGACGGAAATAGGTTCATTCAGACCAATAGTTATGATGGGCTTGATTCTTCAACTGTTCATATTGTTCTTCCACAAGGAACTAAACATTTGATACCAAAACGACTTCCACGTGGATCACTGACTGACGATGATCTCCAGATAAAGAGCTACATACCAGGTCTCGTCTACAGGTCTGACACGCCAACTCACGTTCTTAACAACAAGATTATAACTTACAACAACTCTCATGTCAAAGATATGAACAACAACAACGTAGATCACGATACTAAAAAAGTCATTCAAAATGGTAACCCCATAAGCATAGTATCCAACCAGGCCATCTCCTCACCACCACCTCTACCTTCACCACCGTTGCTGGTGTCGTCGAAAACGTCGCCTAACCATTTACGCCAGAGGACTCATTCACTGACTTCAGACTACAATGTTAAGTTGGATAATGCCGTACCAACGATGAATATTAACGACGTGGAGTTTGTGTTTTTTGAAGATGAAAACTGTCGTCTATGGTTGCGCTTTGTTTTGGATCTGGGATTTGGTATTTCCGCTGCAGATGTCCTCGTGAAGGCCAACTTGGCCGGAAATAAAGTTCGTATTGTCGGAACTCGCTTAAAAAACGGTGCTTTTGAGGAATTCAACGAGAGATGCACCTTGCCGATGGAAGTTGATCCCTACATGATCATTGCCAGAATGGACAACAATGGAAAACTTTTCGTCGAAGGTCTCATTATGACACCCGATCGCAAAAACTTCTTGTCGCGCCGGCAAAAATCAAAATAAAAAAATGTTATGATTTATTTTATTTTGACAAAGCTTCACGTAATAGAAAAACATTGTAGTTGCAGGATCAGCGATATCCTTCAAACATCTCTGTCCATTTTTAACTTCATATCATTACGTTATTACTGTGTAAACGTATTAAGTGGATTCGAAAAACTATTTATATGTCAAAGAAACATAACGGTCTAGTCTGTTACTAAATGTTGACTGTTGCTCGTTTTATTCTTTTGTATTTTTTATACTTTTGTATTTATGTAAAGATATTGATTCGGCCTGCACAATATTTATGTCTGATTGTAATAATTATAAAATGTAACAATACTCATTTGTAATTTGTATCATTTTATACTCGCAGATTATGTAGTACATATAAACAAAATTTAAAACCTCCTTGTTTGTTTTCTTATTTTAGTTTTATAAAAATTGATTTTGGTGTTATGAGCTGCAAAGTTATACGAAAAAAACATCGTTACAGAAGGGCTTCTCTATGCGATAATTGTTTGTTAACAAATTGTTAGGTTGCTAAACAAAACGGGTACGAAAGTTTATCAAAGCATTGTAATGGTTTGAAAGTCATAATATGACCAGTGCAGAATTAAATTCTATTGTAAAAATAAGTTATTTTTGTAACGGTAAGTTATTGAGTTTTTAAAAAATTATTATTTAGTATTGATGAATTGAAATGATTTATAAAATAAATGAATAGTTGTCAAGAAGGCAACAAAAAATGTTTAATAACTTGAGCCAACCAACACATTTCAAGAGGAGATAATTAGGATTTGATCGTTGAATAAGAGTAAGGAAAAAGAGTAAGTGATTGAAATAGACGTAACAAAAAAACCAAATACTCTAGAAACGTTTATTTAGATAAGAAAGTATGAAAGTATGAAAGTATGAAGCTTTTTTCTTTCTATCATCAATTTCAAAATGTTCACAGAATTCTCTTGCTGCAAGTTTTATTCTACATTAATACCCATATATTCAAAATTTTTAAAACAAACAATTATAACAGATTGGCTATATGTTACACAATTTTATAATGAGAATGTTGGGTTTGATTTACAGAGAAATAGATTGTCAGAAATCTTTCACCAACTTCACGTTTTTAGGCCTGTTTTTTATAGGTTGCATTTTTCAATCAACTTAGCAGAAGTTTAGTGCTTGAGAAAAAAATTAGCCATTGACCATGACTTGATATGACATGGGAACGCTACAGATTCTATGAAATTTATTTGATGACTTTTAATCATTTGTTAAAATTTTGTAGTTCATTTAAATTATAGTACAGCGAAGTTCGTTTAGAATTTAAGTCAGATCGTTATTATTTTTGCTAGCTGTATTTTCTTTCGCTCTGTACATTTTTGTCATAAGTTCATGATGTCTTCTAAGAACAAAATTAAAAAGCAACAGTAAAGTTTTTCTATTATTACTTACAGTGCTCTGCTTTCACTCAATTTTGTTGTATTTTTTTTATTTTGTGGTCTAATTGGCAAGATTTGAATTAAGTTGAATTTTAGGGAATGTGTTGATTGAACATTTCAGAATGTTGGATATGCAAGGAAGTAGAAAAACGCCCGTGCAAGAAGCCACGAACGCATCAAATTTCTAAGTTAAATGAAGTTAGTTTGTTGTAAAACTAGTTGTACACTCGTCTTTCTTGATCGCAAATGTTTGGTAGCGAATAAACCTTGAATAGCCTCAATCAATTTTAAACAATTCAATCAATTAGTTTATAAAGCGCTATTTCTGCGATGTTCAACAGCGCTCCTCAATAAATTTTGCAAACAGATGGGTTTTGAGATCCGCTCTGAACTTCATAAATGATGGAGATAAAGTCAGAGAAGAAGGTAGAGAGTTCCAGAGAAAAGGACCAAAAAAAGCAAATGCAGAGTTTGTTTAACACGAGTTAAAAAGAGGTGAGAACAAGAAGACGATCGTAAACCGGGGCGTTTAGGTTCAATTAATATATCTGATAAGTACTTAGGAAATAATTGAGATCGTGACTTAAACATAAATGTGCAAATTTTAAATTTTTTTTTATAGTTTATATGTAGCCAGTGCAAGAGAATAAGATATTGAGATAAATGAGAAAAGAAAGGGGCACGAGCAACTATAGACGAGCAGCAGAGATAAAAGCTTTACTTAAAGGTTATAGTGTAGAATCAGGAAAACAATAGTAAAGAGAGTTACAATAATCAATCCTAGATAAAACTGAAGAAATAACAAGAAGAAGAGTAGAATAATCAAGAAAAGCAAAAGTTATTTTATTCTACGTAGATGAAAGTAAGAACTTCTAGCAACACTTTTAACCTGAGAAGAAAGAGACATGCTAGAATCAAAGATAAAGCCTAGGCTACGAAACTTATGAGACACGTCAAGAGTTGCTTGCTTGGATAACTTTTGTTGTGACGTGACGGCTATGATGACGTATGAACAAAGATGTTATGACACATTTAAATGTCTGACCAAAGTAACTTCTACATCTTTGGTCAACAAAAAAATTTTTTCGGCTTATCTGATTTTAGTTTTTACACATATGTTCTATAAATTGATATTAGTTTTATTAATTTAACTTATTGTACAAACATCATTTTGTAATGCCAAATAAATCTAAATTGTAGCATTATTAGGTTTTTTTTACGAAAATGGATGAAAAATATTCTGATGGATTATCGCTCTATAATAGCAAATCATCTTCTTATCCCCCAAAGTATTTTTTTTACTAAAATGGTTTTTATTTAGTGAAAAATCAAGTATTTATTTTATTTCAGTCAAAAGCTAGGCAATGTTGTACATTTTTAATTTTATTATTTAATTAAATTTTTAGTAATTTATTATATATATTTTTAAAAATATATTTAAAATTTTTTTTTGTTTAAACTTTAAACATTAAAAAAACTAATTAATAAAGTTTATTTTGCTTCTTTGATATAAAATATAAATAGAAAGATTTTTCCCATAAACATGTATCTGTGTATTATATATAATTAAATATAATATTATAATTATAATATGTTTGTGTACTATATGTATATAATATAGTATATATACAGTTAAAAACTTTGTTTTCTATATAAATAAGTTAAAAAACAATGATACAATAATTAAAATTACTAAAAAAATATTGCGAAATTGAACCAGAAACTGATCAAAGCTAAAAATGCAATGATCTTTCTTAACAATTGTATCTGAGATAGTCTTAACTTAACCATAATTTTATATATATAATAAGAACTACAAAATTATAATAATAATCTGAATTTTATATTATAGATTATTGTATGTTATATTACTTAGTTTTATAAGTAATAACTAATTAATATTGTTATTACATAAATAGTTTTAATGTTAGAAACCATTTTTGTGTTAACATTTTTTAAAAAGATGTTTTTTGTATTAAGATTTATTTTTAAATTTTAATAAACCAGTAAAACAATTTATTCACTACAAACCAGTAAACAATTTATTCACTACAAATAAATCTTTCTCCAAGATTCCTAGCCTATTCATCTCTGTTGGTAATTGTCAAGCTGTTAAGATGCATAGGAGTCTTTTTTATATATGACCTTTTAAAAGTTGTCCACTATGTACAAATCCTCTTCATCATACAGCTATGGTTGGTAGAGTTGTTTATTGCAATTATATTTTTTTTTGTTTAAAAGTGACATATATTTCAAAGAAAGGTGCTTTTAATATTCATCTCAACTTGAAATTCAAAATATGTTTTGTGTCTGGTATTTAATTTCTCTGTCTGAAAATATCCAGGATCAAGGAAACATAAAAAAATAACATCGAGCTTAGTCTTTTTGAAGTTATATAGACAAACTTCAACATAAATATATAGAAAAATTATAAATGTCTGTAATAAAAATTTTTTGGTAAAAAGTTGGATCTCAATGGAAAATAGTCATAATGTTTGTTTGCGTGTATGTTTTGTTAACATTCTTTTGTCAAAAGTATAGATTAATATTAATGAATATAGAGTTAATGGATATTAATTATAATAATTATTTATTAATTAATAAATTAATTAATCCAACAGTGGAGCTGCTTGTTTTGTCATGTTACAGAAACCATTTTCAGGCAGGAGGATAACAAAATATCAGGTGGCTTTTTAAATGTTCATAAATGATGGTGTGTAACAATTTTATGTCAAATGTTCATGACCAAATATATAACTAATTTATTGTGGAAAGCTTGTAGTAAAATGTGTAACTTTTACTAAGTGTTTAATTTATCATATAAAAGATTTTATATGATGTATTTCTAATGAAATATTTACATTTATTTCAAATCAGTATTTCAGATTGGCCAGACACAGTTTTTTTGGGACACTGATAAAGTTGTTGTGGCTGTATGGGTTGACATTATGTGGACCACTCAGGTTTGTATTGCTTTCTATGCATGCTTTTTAGTTTAATGTGTTATTTTTTATTGTTTTGTGCTGTGTTGCATTTTATTGTTTCGGTTTCTGGGTTGTTGCTTTTTCTATGTTATGTTGGATTGCATTGCGTTGTCAAGTTTGATTTTAGTATGTTACACTATTATGACTCACTGTATGTTGCAAGTGGTGCTGTTTTTGAGATTGTTCATTCCAATGAATGTTTGTTATAAATGGTGAAAATAATACTACACTTTTAGAACACTTCTGATGTTTGAACATAGCGATATCATCATCATCTCAGTTGCAACTGCACTCTTCACTACTGGATCATCTCCAGCTAAAGTTAGTTTCAAGCATGGCAGTCATATTTTTTTTAGTATGTGTGTGTCTGTGTGTGTCTGTGAATATTAGGGTGGTCACAAGAAATTTTTTTTTTAAATTTTATCGGGGGAACCCCCTAAATTGTGCCACTTGACTAAAAAATGACATTTGTAAAGTTTTAGCTCAATTGGATAATGCTAACCCGTGCCTCATCAAGGTTGAAATTTCGAAAAATTGGAAAATTTTGAAAAAAAACGCAGTTTTTGGTTTGTAAAATGAAAATGGTTCACTCTAGAAACATGATTTAAGTTTTATTTTGTTCATTGATTAGTTTTCTTCAAATGTTACTATGATCACTATTTAGCTACAAGTTATAGTTTCTGACATATTTGCATTGTTACAGATACACATTGAAAAAACGTTGAATTTTTCCATAGCACAAAAACACACAATAACTTAATTTGTTTATAAAGAAATGTTTTTCAAATAACACCGTTGTATCTAAATCATTAAAACAACGCAAGCACCTTTAATGCGGCCAGTATTCACGGCTCACAGTATTTCCTGGTTGCTCAAAAGCCTCCTTATCCGAGCTTCCACCTTTTGAACAACGAGTTAAACTAGAAATTTATTTGATGTTCAACAACTATAAACAATATAATAGAATAAAAAATGGT